CACTCATCTTAAAGTGGCCAAGTTTGGACAACACTGGCTCATATCATACCTACCTGGTCTGCTGTTCGCCACTTTGAGAGAAGAACATTATCCCTGCATCCCACCAGTCCTAATCCATTTCAGGACTGCTGGAGATATTTTATACCAAGAAAAAAAATAATCACCTCTTGTTTGGCCCAAAGTATAATATATTTCCAGGGGCAACTATATTGCCTATAGTCCCTTTCCCACTCTTCATTAACAAATCAAAACATTTCTTTCATTAACACCCAGATACAGCAAAGATAATTGGGAATCTAGAATCAAATGAAAATGCCACGATTACTTTAGATAGATAAGGACAACAATTATACAACTTATAAGCAATTCTTGGTATCATTACAACAACTGCATAAACAATCATCTCATACTTGTGTCACATTTTTTTTATTTGCCTTGTTTCTTTCCTTCCATAGCCACAATAAGTGACAAAGGACTTGTGCATATGAAGCAAACAGCAGATAATGTACAGTATAATAATTGACCATAGACCATCTAATTAAGCAGAAATATTTGGGCGGGGAGTACTAGAGATAAAAGTAAAATGAAATATGTCTATGAACAATACAAAGGAGTGTTTTTGTTCTGAGGTGATACAGATCTTAAGGTAGTGGAATAAGAAGTCAGCAAAGACTTGTCTATCCATTTTACTATAAGTATCCCACATTACTTAAATGAAGCAAATACAACTAGTCTTCAAGATGTAAGCACAATCTGCATGCAATATACTGTAGTATAAAACCTGAGCAAGATTCCTAGAGAACCAAAATGAGAGTATCTATGGCTGCCAACATTGCTCTCTCCTACATTAATCTTGAAGTTACCTTCATATTTTAAGTTGGAATGAAAAGAAAAATCTTTTAAATGTGTATTATTAGACCACTGACCCTTTCAGAAGAGCAAGATATCAGTATAATGTTTGATAGGAAACATACCTTGGGTATAGGGGCTGCAAGTCCTGGAGGCATTTCCTGTGGTATGCTGACTTTATCATATTTAAAAACATCTCCCTGCTTCTTCTGTTCACATCTAAACTCCACTTCTGTGGGTACATGTTTATTTTGCTTCGTTACTGGTGAAATTAAGACTTCCTGATTTAGATGCAAAGCTACAGAAGCCTGGTGGTTTTTATTCTTATCAGACTCACCCTGAAAAATACAGAAATTTAAAATTCTGCTTTAGAAAGTTTAGAAACACTCTAAATATATAGTATTTTGGTTCATTTGTCACCAAGAAAGCTGCTTTCATGTGCAAGAAAAATTAATGCAAAGGAGAGTCAAACATAGTTTTCTTTATGTACAACCCTGTGCTCGTTCCTGAATAAAAACAATTCAAACCTTCTGTCTTATTCTACCCCACATGCTTTGGCGTTATCTAAAAAATTCCTATTTGTTTATGTTACATGTATCTTAAAACATTAAAACTGCTTATGCTAATATTAAAGTTGATATTTTCTTATTTTTATTTTCTCTTAGCAAAGTGCTATCAGGATGATAAAGCTAGCAAGGAACCCCAACAAGAGCAGTGGGGTGTGTGTGTGTGTGTGTGTGAAAATAAAAGCAGCACTTGGAGGTATTTGCTTGACCCCCAAACTTTTCCCTTCCATATTTCAGATTTCCCTCTTTTATTTAATATCCTTGCGTTTACTGGGTGGAGAGAGGGGCTATAACACAAGTATGTAATTGCAGCATTTGCATGATATGTCATTACATGCACGTCACCATTTCAGCATCAGGACGATTTGCTGCCAATGCCACTGAGAAGGGCAGGCTAAAAAGATACTCTTCATTCACTGGAGCATCTGTATTAAATTCACTTGATGAACATGAATCACTACTACATTCCTTTGTCATCATGAATATGCTTTTCCACCTAAGTAATTATGGAGTGTTGGATACAGGCTACGGTATTAGAAACTAATAGCTGCTTAGTGAAAACAGCAAGCATTTCTCAGTATCACAAATGAGACAACAGTTTCACATTTAGCATGCTAACAGCTAAGTTGGGCTTACTATTGCAATAGCTTAATATTTACAATTATTAGTGACTGAGAAATCAACAGACTTGATCCAGAACATACATTATAAATTATAACCCACAGTTCAGTAGCATTTAGTATAACATTGCATTGACTAAAGGCATAACCTTACTCCCACATCTGTAAAAGATTGCTTTTTGAAAGTGAAAGAATAAGAATTATCCATCCAGTCAGAGCAGCCAACTATGACAGTCTCTGTTCTATAGGTGGAAAGAAACATAACCAGAGTGGGACTAATTCTACAACTTTCAGAATCTATGAAGGTAATTAATGAAGGTAATTAGACAATCTAATTCAGACAGAAAACCGAATTACTTAGTAAAGAATGCCTGGAAAAGTTAAGGCCAGAGAAGCAAGTCATGTCCAAGCACAGAAAACAGCTTTATTATGGATAAAGCTGAGACAAAAATTGCTTCTATTTTTGGCAAATCTCAAGTTAGAGAATTCTTGAACAGGTGGCAACTTAGCTGTTGTATTGTTTGGTGTATTGTCATCAGATTCATGGCTGAACCTACCAATGACTTCTTTTTGTTTTTTTAAAAAGCTAATTTCCTGTATATTCAATTGAGGAGCCCATCATCTTTCCCCACAATGCCACCGAATCATACAATTTCCGAGGCTTTCTTGGGGAAATACAGAAACTCTAGTGATTGGGGCACCAGAACAGAGCAGCTGCCTTTATTAAAAACTTTCTTCTTCATGGGCTCTACTGTCATATGTAATTTAAGAATGACTTGTGAAATGTTCTCAGACTTTTCTGCAACACCCATTTAATACATGGAACAAGTACACTTCAAGACAGCTTACCAGCAGTGAATCTTGAAGCTCCACCTCTTCAGTCTTACATTTTTTAATTGGATTATCTTCTAATAATAGTTTAGATCTTTTAAAACATTTCCCAGGCATCAAGTCATCTGTTGTTCCATTTGGTTCCTTAGTTAGCCAGAGTTGCAGATCTTCAGCTTTTCCCCAATTATTAGAACTATCTTTAGTAAAGGTTCCAGCAGGAGCTACCTGTAAATTAGCTTTCACAGGAGACTTAATTTCAACCACATTACTAGTAGAAACAGGATGTACCATGTAATTTGGACGGTATGTTGTCACTACCTGTACTTGGGACGGATTCAGATATACTGCACATGGTACACTAGAAAGGACAGAAGGAAGTATTGCTGGAAACTTTGAGTTGGAGGTCAGGGATGAGGACATAACTTGAGAAGGCACCAAGCCTGCGCTGGACTTCAAACAAGATTCAGAAGGTGAAGTGTGTTCCAATTTCTTTTTTACCTTTTCAAATTCCCTAAGAAAAGAAATTCAGTGTTAAAAATCTTTAATCCAAATTTTCTCTGCTGAAAGACAGCACAACACAGTGGAATTAGATCTTTTTACTTAGGAAAAAACATCTGGCAAAGCATTATCAAGTGCATAAAAATCAAATGGACTTCAGATTTTAGAAACTGTAATGATATTACTCTGTGTCATAATTATGTTAACTGTTGGTATAAGCAAAAGCTATGAATTGCTGATTTCAACAGATAGTTTAATTTATATTAATTAGCAATCACCATGCCTTACATAGAAATATACCTTGATTGTTCATCTAATTGTTGTTTGCATATTGCTGCAAGTTGAGCCATCTTGTTTGGAAAAGTTGAAGGATTTGGACCTTTTTAAGAAAAGAAAAAAGGCATTTAACTTGGATATTATTTAAGACCTAGCAGCTCAGAATCAGCTGAATCTCCTAAAGTCCATCACTGATAGTGCTTACGTGATTCGGCTTATGGCCTATTCTTACGGTCTAGATCAGTGACACTGACCCAGCCTGTGCTATGAAAACATGACAGAAAACTGTTGTATTTATCTCCTTATAATCAGTTTATTTTATGTATGTACCTAAAACCATTAAGTTCTGGCTTTTCTGAACCTCCAAGTGCAATGTATACACATGAACTGGATTGTCATAAAACAAACAGTCAAAAAGACCACTCAAAAACAAGACAGCAGACTTGGAAATTGCACCCTCTGCTTATGAAACATATTTGTTTTATTTATTATTAAATTTATATGCCATGCATCTCCCCCCAAGATACTGCAGGATTTGTATCCTGCAGTAAGAGATGAAGTACAAATACCACCATTCCTTATTTGAATAGTTTCTCCAGAATTATATGAAACATTTTGTATCCTACATACCTGAATGTTTTTTGACAGGGCTGCTTGGAGCAGAACGACTCTTTCTCTGTTCATTTTGTTTACTCCTTGCCAGTTTTATCAGAGATGGATGCCGGGTGAAATTTTGTTTGTTACTAGTAGGGAAGAGATTCTTAGAACAATGTTCTTTACAAGATTTATCTTCCATAGGAGGTGATACTGCATCCAGTTTTGGCTGGGTATCTGTGATACAATCATACACAGAACTCTAACATTAATGTACTACATTCGTGTTCTTTGCTTTGATGGAATTGTCACTTTTAAACACTCTCTCAAAACAAGTAATTAGTACTCTAATTATGAATATGCGAGATATTATGTTAGTAGAGTGACAAATGAGCCAAAAGGAGAAATAAACCATCTTAACTCTGATATGGCTTTTATAGGTTGGGAGTACCACAAGTGAGCACAAATTAACATGAAATATAGTTCTAGCTCAAAAATAATCTAAGTCTAGTTCAAAAGTAATAATGTACCTACCTTTAATATCAGAAAAAACATCTGGTCCTATCCACTTAAATGCTGGTTTGCGGCTCTTTTCTTCTCTGATATGAACCTTCTCGATGAGCTCAAGGCTACTAAGGACATTAGCAATATCATATAGTCTTCGAATTTTAGCTGAAATAAGTTAAAAAGCTAATGAAAAATACAAAAACGGAAATTCAATATTGTTAAAGCTACAGTCTCTCCTCTCCTTCCTGCTATGCTGTTCTAAACGTAGATGCAACAGAAATGTTTCCATTTGAAGGATCTATGACACAAAGCATATAAACAGGTCAGGGTGGACATTAATATTTTGCATTCCTCTACCAAATCCCATATTTCATATTTTTAAAACACAATTGCTTTCCCCCCCTCCACAGATGTGGGGGGGG